AGCACACTGATGCTTTCCTCCAGCCAGGAAGGAGGGAATATTTGTTCTTAAGGACTCTTAAAGTACTTACAGATGTTCCCATAATCATTGACGCCAGACCCTGATGCCCCTCACGCAACAGCTCTGTTACATTACACATGGGGGGGAAAAAAGCACACGACTTCCAGTGCTGTTTTGCCAGCCAGAGAGGCGTGAAGAAAGGATTTCTCGGTCTCTGTTCAGTCCTTCCAGGAAGTCAGGTTTTCTGAGGTTCACAGAAGGGTTTCTGAAGGCCACATAGGGAAACCAAAGTGGTGGAGAGCGAACCAGGCCACTGTCCAAGGCAGGGAGGAAGACGGCTGCATTCAAGTGGAAAACTGTGGAGCAGAGTCTCCTCACTTACCTGGAAGCTCACACTTTGTCTCTTTTCCTTGTTGTGGCTGCTAACAAACTCACCCCAGGCTCCCTCCCACCCGCTCTCCAAGCCTGTGCTTGTCCCATCCCCTGCCTCTCACACCCAATCTCTGCTGCACAGCCCAGACTTCGCCCTGAGAACCAGGCAGGTTACGCACAGCTCAGCTTTATTTTCTCTTCTTAGGTTTAATGGTTTTGCCCCCCTCCTTATAAGAAATAGTTTAGCACTTTCTGGAGCTTCTGCTAACCCCTCCTTCCTGCCCCTGTTTGTGACACCTCTCTGGGGACACAGCCAGCAGCCGCCGGCACCGAGAGGGGCAGCGGAGGAAGGCGGGGATGGCACCAGAGCTGGCAGAAGAACTCGGCAGGGTGCCCAGCCTGCGCTGCTGGGCGGTACCGGGCTCGCCACTCCTTTGGGCGAGGGTGAAGGGCAGATTTCTTGCCTCCTCCTCGTTATCAGAGCAGAGGCAGCTCCCTCCCAGGGTGGGCGAGTCTCCCACACGGAAGTCAAGTCACTCCTCAGGCGAAGGAGCCAGGGAAGGAGACCAAGCTCTGTGAGCAACCCCGGAGCCTCTCAGCTCACCCAGCCCGCTACACTGCCCGCAGCTCCGCGGAGACCTGCCCGGAGGAGCAGGAGGGGAGAGGGGGAAGGAGAAAGGCTCTCCACTTCGCCATGCAGGTAGGAAGCAGAAACCACTCAGCTGTTTCCAAGCTGAGCCACCTGGAGCTTGGAAACGTGGGACGCTCTGAGCTCTGATCTCTACCACTCACGTGCTTTCAGCCTTCAAAGTGCTCAAAAAAGTACCACAAAAGTCCGGTTTGTCTCTCCAGTGAGCAACCTCCTGCCCAGCACGGCCGCGGAGCACAGATTGCAGGAGGATGTGTTGGACCGAGACCAGATCTTTACTTACATAAACCCAGGGACAGGCACCGCGTATGACAGTGGAGGGGACAGCCCAGAGGTTCCAGGAGCACCTGAAATAAAGCAAGGGGAGAGGGGCAGCTGTGAAGTTTGGTTTCTCTAGCTTGAAAGAAAAGACGCGGTTTTCTTTTATTCAAAAAGCCAGGCAAACTCTCCAAGATTGGAGCAGCTAGTAAGTGTACAGGTGAACCGTCTGCCTGCTCAGTTAGAGAGGGTCACATTTCCTGGGAAATGATGAGGTAAGGTAGAAGTGTTCCAAGGGAAGCGTTTGTAAGAAACATCCCTGAGATAAAAGCAATTTGATCATCTCAGCGTGGGTGATGGGAACCACCCAAACGCTCGTGAATCCACAATTGGAAAGGAAAGCAAGGACGCTGGATCCTATCCGGGTCCTTTGCCTGAGTTACTCACGCAGGTGACTGCACCCCCAGTCCAAGCGTGCCTGTCGCCGTGTCTCTGGAGGGTGCAGCAACCTCGCACAGGGCAGCGGCTTACCTGGCCTGCGACAAGGACCCGCTGATACCCACTGGAGAGAAGCCAGGCACACTTCAGGGCACGCAAACCCTTTTTAACATCGAAATTGCTGCTTCTCATTGTGCCGGTTACTTCTACACCTTCGCACAGCGTGCCTCCAACCCTGCCCCAATGGTGGGACAGGAGAAACCGAGACGGGCATCGTCCTCCTCGATAGCAGGGATTAGAGTCCAGGCTTTACACAACCGCTTCAGAGCCGAGGCGGCCCTGCCTGCGCACGGGGCCGATCTGACTGCCAGAGCAAAGCAGCCGTCATCTGACAGTGCCACCAGTCCCCTGGGATGGAAAATCGGTGCGGGAGCAGCAGCCATCCGTCATCGCTGCCTTCTGCGGCTGCCCCTGTGTACGAGCCA